CGCATAGAATGATAAACAGAAAACTGGAAAGATATTTGAAAAGTAATTTGAAAAAGTTAGCCCAGGGTAGGGAATAGTGAAAATGTTTGTCCGTACGAGGTGAGCCAGACGATGATGAAACTGACATGGGCTCTTCTAGAGCAAATGAGCGCGGTCATAGATATCAACATCCTGCAAACTTTGATCTTCTGGTCACTCTGTTTCAGATAATAAACCCAAGTGCACGTCTTTCAGCTTGGTGTATCGCATTTGCTGAAATTGTACTCTTTTGTGTTGAGAAGACCGTTCACATTGGTCTTTCTGTCTCCCCATGTCAAAGTCCAAAAAAAGACAAAGATAGTTGCTCTGGCTTTGTCTTTTGTTAGTGAGTAGTCATTTGATTTGGTTGAGAAATCACATCTGGGTTTCAGTTCATTAGTGTATTTAAATAGTCCTATCTCTTTATTTGTATTGCTTATTGTTGCCCCCCCCTCTCTCTCTCTCTCTCTCTCTCTCTCTCTCTCTCTCTCTCTCTCTCTCTCTCTCTCTCTCTCTCTCTCTCTCTATCTCTCCCTCTCTCTCTCTCTCTCTCTCTCTCTCTCTCTCTCTCTCTCTCTCTCTCTCTCTCTCTCTCTCTCTCAGAGATTAAAAAAGCACCTTTGATCGGTTCCAACGCATCGTGTACTTTAAATGACACTTTTTTATTTGAGGTCTGGTTCTTTTACTATTCCCGTGCTGGATTTTCTGCAGCTTTCTTTGACGTCCAAAGTGGTTCACATTGCTCAGCTTCGCAAAATTCCTTTCCTGATGTCAAGCCAGTGAGCTTTCAATGTCAAACAAGTATGGATTGTGAAACAACTCGGAAATATACTTGTAATTTATCTTGACAACGTCAACTTTTTCTGCAAATGAGCAAGATAATAATATTACACATTCGAATTTGACAGTCGTAGTGGAACAATACCAGTCCTGCATTTAAGAAAAACAAGTTTTAATCATGTGACAGAATGGTTTTCCGCAAAAAACATACAGTCGACATCACACATTATAATCTTTGGCCTGTAAACCGTGAATACTGACCGGTCGTTGTTTGCTCCAGGCAGTCGCCCATATTTCGATGGTCTAAAGAGGCGTTCACGGCGCCAACGGTCAGCCCCGCGAGTCATAAACCCACTGATGAGATCGTGAATTCCACGGTTTCATTAGGCGACTTTTGGGACACGGTGTATTTTCACGAATTTCTGATTACGTCAGATTGCATGTTGAGTTTATATAATTGAAAAATATTTTTACAAAGACATGTATCTCACCGAGCACTCTCAAAATAATATGTAAAAAAATGATTTTCAGAAATTTGTGGAATTCATGGTTATATCAGGCGACCGACAATGTATCTTCCTGTGCATTTAACTTTCATCATTTCTCACGCTTGAGTTCCTGTATAATAAACAATAAAAAAGAAAAAGTCACATAGACGAACAAAAAAAAAAAACACATTTGAGCGTGACACAGTGGAGTTCTTCAACTGCCTCCTAACCCTGACAAATCCACGCCTGGAGTTATAGTCGATAGCTCCCCTGCCAGGTAATTATTCGATACCTTCCCTTCCCGGTATATTCGATACCTGCCCAGCTGTAATTATTGGATACTTCCTTGCCCGATTATATTTGATGCAAGCCTTCAAGATGTATAACCAATACCTTCCTTCCTGTCATTATTCGAAAACTTCCTTCCTCAAAATGATGAACATCATATTCATCCCAACACTCACCTATCAATGTCAAACATAGACCACGAGTTACAACATATGAAACGCAATGCCTTAGAAAAGCAGTAAACAAACAAGACTAGGCGAAACAAAATTAGAATCACAGTAATCAGAGAAATAGTGGGCACATGATGTCATACATCACATCCAACACCAAAGAATCAAATGGTTCGGACATCTCGAGCGATTACCAACACACCACCCAGCACGTCCCTACATAAAAAAGTTCGATGGCAACAAGGCTAGATGGCGGCCAAGAAAGACCTGTATAGATGAGTCAGGGAAACATTAACAACTCACAGCATCCCCCAGACCCAAGCTCTCCGACTGGTGGCAGAGAGACGTCTCTTTATTCCTGCGCCACTCAAAAGTGTATAAAGAGGCGGATAAAAGAAATAAGTCTCCCTTACTCAAGCAGTTATTTCGGGTTGCTGTTACCTACTTCATAAAAGAGGACTCCTCTAGTATTGTGATTGAGTGTTCTACCTTCAAAATCAACTGTGTTTTGTTTCATTCAAGTCTTAAACATTTTACTTGTGAGGTGATGTTGTGTTATAAAAAAAAACTCGTAGGCCAAACGATCGGTTTATGAGACTCATGGAGCAAGGGCGGGAGATGAAGGGAAATGACTGAGGAAATGGCTTTTGAAAGAATACTTTTAAAAGATTTATGGAACCTGGAGCCTTTATCCAAGTATTCCATTTATTATTACGTGTGAACTCTCCGTCTCTCCTGCTTATTCTCTGCTGCTTTCTCTCTCTCTCTCTGTCTTTCTCTCTCTGTCCACCTCTCCCTCCCTCTCTCTCTCTCTCTCTCTCTCTCTCTCTCTCTCCCTCTCTGTCTGTCTGTCTGTCTGTCTGTCTGTCTGTCTGTCTGTCTGTCTGTCTGTCTGTCTGTCTGTCTTTGTCTCTCTCTCTCTTTCCCTGTGTGTGTGTGTGTGTGTGTGTGTGTGTGTGTGTGTGTGTGTGTGTGTGTGTGTGTGTGTGTGTGTGTGTGTGTGTGTGTGTGTGTGTGTGTGTGTGTGTGTGTGTGTGTCTTTCTCTGTCTCTCGGTAGCACAACTACCACCATCGGGTGCTCTCGTGGTCTGGAAGCTCGATGTTCACTTCTCATTCAATAGGGTCCCGGTTTCGAAACCTGGCAGCTACTGAAAATTTCCATCTCTAAATTTGTCTCCTTTCACCTCCGTTCCACATCTAACCATGTTCAGTCGTCTGTATTCGTCTCCACCTTCTGCGCCCACCCCGACCCCCTTTGTCCCCTCATCTTTGCCCCCTCATCTTTGCCCCTAACTGTTTCTGCAGCCTTAGTACTGCTATCATTGGCCCCATCTTACTACTGTCTTTCAGTCCCACCCCTGATCTTAGGGTAGGTAACAAACGACAGCAAAAAAAACAACAACCAAAAACAAACCCAAAACAAATAAAAACAATACTTGACAGTACGAATTCAGTTAGGATGCTGCTTTTACAAGAACATACTAGTACAAGGTATTTGAATTGACAAATTGTAGTGTCCGCAGCTTTCATAGATCCCGCTGGCTTGTGTGTGGTCATATTCTGTGGAGGGGTAGATCATGTAGGCATTGGTTGCACTTATATATGTCCGGCCAATTAAGCTTAAGCTTTTGTACAGCCTGACACACATTTATGGAGGCGTAAAAAGTAAAAAACACCTAAATGCTTTGATCTTATACTCATATGGAATAGAAAGCTATGTAAATGCAATCTATCATTGAATTGTCCCTTATCTTCCTGGTTTCTTGCGATGACAGCAGAATGGTGATCCTCAATAAAATAAATCATGTTCACTTCGATGTTTATACAATAAGATTTACATTCAGTTATTCGCCGTGGTAAAGCATGTTCATCGAACACCGTTTACTCTGCATTTCGCCAGCAAGGTAGCCTACCGAGAAAAAAAAAGATAAATAAAGAAGGAAACACTCACAATAAGGTGAAGTATGTAGAGCAATAGAAGTTTTATTCATATAAATTATGTAAACAAGGTTGGAAAAAAAATCACATCGTAAACAGTTTGAACAATGATAACATCTTTTAAGTAGATCTACCGGTATCTCAGAGAAGAACATTCGATCATACGTTGTATGCTTTTGAACGTGTTTTATATTGAAAGCCCTAAACGTTCCTTGTTCAGCTTCAGACAAGTAAGAAGTGTTTTTCAACCAAAATAGCTCCACTCTGTTTCCTGTGTTAATAATTAATATACGGTGTTGTATTTTTAAAGTTTTTAAAAATGTGTATGCACAACAAAATGTGGTCGTTATTCTAACGACTAACAAGCAGAGACAACAACTTCAAAAACAGAAGAGATAAAAAAAAACCAACAGCTAGAATACCACTACAAACTTTCAGATTTAGTAAGAATCTAACGACACTTGCAACACAATAAGGCCATTCAAGTGCAAAAGAATAGATGTGTTACAAGAGAGTAACATACATTAAAAAAAAGAAGAGGAGAGATTCGGGCGATAGATTTTTGATCGGAAAGAAAGAGCAAATCACACCACAGCATCCGCCAACCATTCACCCTCTATAAACACAAACATCAGCAACAACAACAACAACAAAAAACACGATTACAACAACGACGACGACGACAACACAACTGCTGCCTCTTCTAACAACCAAGACAGCAACAGATAATAACAAAAACAATAACAACAGCAGCAACAACAACAATAACATAACCACTACCTCCTCTGACAAGAAAGACAGCAATATATTGCAGTAGCTGCAGCTACAACAACAACAACAAATACAACAACAACAACAACAACAACAACAACGACAACAACAACAACAAATACAACAACAACAACAACAACAACAACAACAACAACAACAACAACAACAACACGGCCACTACTACGAACAACAATAACAGCAACACATTATTTGGAGAATGCACATGCGTTTGTGTGTAGACCCTACATCTACATGTGTGTCCATATTCTTTAGTTGATGCATGGGCCTGTGAGAGAATGTGTGTGTGTGTGTGTGTGTGTGTGTGTGTGTGTGTGTGTGTGTGTGTGTGTGTGTGTGCGTGCGTGTTGTGTGTGTGTGTGTGGGTGTGGTTGTGTGCATGAGTGCGCGCGAGTGCGTGTGTGTGGGGGGGGGAGGGTCTGTGTGTGTGTGTGTGTGTGTGTGTGTGTGTGAGAGAGAGAGAGAGAGAGAGAGAGAGAGAGAGAGAGAGAGAGAGAGAGAGAGTAAGAGAGAGAAAGAGTACATGTGTGTATGTGTATGTGCGCGCATGCGATCGATTGAGTACGTGTAAGTGTGTGTGTATTTATGTGTGAAGAACTGAGGGAAAGAGTGAAATAATATTTTGTTTGTCAATCAGCGTTTGTGTAATGTGTGTGTACGTCTGAGTATGCGTGGTAGTGGATGTAATATGACGATGTGTTTATGGGGAAGGGGTTGAGATGGGGGTGGAGTGCAGAAGTTGGGAGTAGAAATTCCCTTCAATCACAAATGATATTACAACAATTGATTTCATATACATCTAATTTACGATTAACATTATTAGATCTACCGGTATTGCATGAATAGAAATTCCCTTCAATTATATTATTATTGCCTCTTAATACAGGTACAAAACAAAAGTTGAGGTCCCTATAGGGTCATTTGATCAAATTTCATTAGTTTCTAAGGAGAATGCATTTGTTAATCCCCAAAAAGTCCCATAACTCCATCCATCAAGGCATCGTCATCTTCGTCATCGTCATCTTCTTCAACGTCTACCTCTTTCTCCTGTGCCTTCGATTCTCTCATTTTTAAATTGGCAAGTTCCCTATCTTTTCTTGATGGCTTCCCTTGTCTCACCTTCTCCACCATGGCAACTTCGAACTTGTTTGTTGGCTCGAGGTAACCATCTTGCATTAGCCACATTCTTACAGATTTAGTCCAAGACTTCGTTTCGTTGTTGGAGCTTTCTTTCGCGCCGCTTTCTTTGAGAATGTCAGCGATGAACATCTCTATCACCATGTCTGTTTGCTGTCGTTCAGGGATGTCCAGTTTGCTCAGTACACTGGGAAAATTAGACGGCATAGTATAACTATTAGTGTTAGATCTGTGGAATATGAAAAATTGAACTAGGTAAAACAAAAGAAGCCTCCAATTAGCAGAAAAGGAAAACAGCAAAGAAAAGAAAAGAAAAAAAAGGTTTACCTCAGACTTTGGGGGGGGGGGGACTCTAGAGCAGTGTAGGGTTATACATTGAATTGTTCGGATTATTTTTTAAATCCCACCTATTGCAGCTGATTCTTCACACCATTCTCCCACGGTTTCTCAGACTCTCAAACAGTGAGCATTTAAACGCAAACAGACACATAGATACACACACACACACACACATACACACACACACACACACACACACACACACACACACACACACACACTCACATCACACACACACACACACACACACACACACACACACACACACACACAAATACAATTGCACGCGCACTTACGTGAGAAAATAATACTGATTCAGGCACGTCCACTTTGATGAGTCACTTTGGTAAAGACTGTTGACAACATTTCGTTTTGTTTATTCGGGTTGTTGTTTGCTCTCAAAGTCGGAATGAATTTTTTGTCTACTGAAATATCCTGGTTATATAATATTCAATACGTATCCACGAGCTGATATAAGACCACTTAAAGCCATATAGGGCAGGGCTGGATTTTTGCCAGCTCGTATCTTTCAGGAGCGTGTTCTATGTAGAGTGTAGACCCATATCTCGCCGTAACCTATCTGCTTTATTGTTTACCAGGCTGTGTACTGATTATGCGTAATACACGAGAAAGAGACATCGGTATCTGTAGGAGCGTGATCTTATGAAAGCAGGCTATACTCCAAAACCATAGATCTAGTCGCTTTCCTTTCAGGTAAACGATACTGCTCATGGTGGGGAACGGTCAGTCACTTGTTTGCTAGATTTTACAGTCAAGAGACACATAGCTGAAGTATTCCATAGGTTGTATACAGACGTTTTCATCCTCCATCCCATCTACCTCTCTATCCATCTACTCTCTCTCTCTCTCTCTCTCTCCCTCTCTCTCTCTCTCTCCCCTCTCTCTCTCTCTCTCTCTCTCCTCCCCCCCCCCTCTCTCTCTCTCTCTCTCTCTCTCTCTCTCTCTCTCTGTCATTGTTCTTCCCCTCTCTAAAAACAATAACAGTCAATACAGAGAGGTTTTGTTAGATTGCTCATCACAGAACAGTCAGGTTTTAAAAAAAAAAATAAGGTCCTTTTTACAAGAACGTGCATAATGCTTTTTCGTTATAATGCTGATATCTTATTGGTTCCTATTCTCATTAATATATATTTTTTTTTTACTGATTATTAAATGATATCTTTCAAATCTATCTCACCTGTTGTATCTTGCTTTGGTGCAGTAGTTTGGCGCTTTATCCTTTCTTTGTTTAACGTCAACGAAAGCAGTCGACAAGTATTTGACGGCGTGTAAGCCAAAGTCGGGTCTGGTCAGCGGAGTCATCACCACACCTGCAGAAGACAATTTTGACACACGTAGAAGTTGATTGTTATAATTGTGCATAAGCGTGGTTTTTTTCTTAAGCAAAGCGAACGATAAACAGCAACAACAAACATTATATAGGCTATACTGGCACCTGCAGTCAAATTTGTTCAAAGACTTTTTCCACTTTATACAAACTTTGAGACGAAGAGGGGGTATTCTGACGATGAATTTGTTGATTTATTCCTGTGTGAGTTCTAGTAAATGCAATGAGAAAGTATGTGATTGTTTTGATTTAGTCTACGTCAAATTCTCGGTATGTTTGCCTGTCAGCCTGTTTGTTTTCTTCTGCACCGCCACCTCCATTAAAAAATAAGACTAGGGGGCAATAGTGACCCAACCACTCTACCCAATATTTACGTTCATGGTTGCCCCCCTTGGAAAAAAATGCGCACAGATAAGACTTCGACCTTGTCAGTCCAGGCTAGGCTACCCAGTCAATGAACGGGTAATCTCTCTCTCTCTCTCTCTCTCTCTCTCTCTCTCTCTCTCTCTCTCTCTCTCTCTCTCTATCTATCTCTCTCTCTCTCTCTCTCTCTCTCTCTCTCTCTCTCTCTCTCTCTCTCTCTCTCTCTCTCTCTCTCTCAAATCTCACCTTCGATATTCGTCTTGTAATCATCAGTGCGTTCTGTGAGGGAGGATCTGCTGTTCATGAATCCAGTGTCTTTAAGCCAGTCTTTCAGTTCCTCCAGAGTAGCTTTGGGCTCAGTAACTGGAACAGCGAAGTATGGAAATCCCACTTCCCTGCACAGATCGCCCAATTGGACAACGGAAAGCCAGTTTCGGTTGACGTTGATTCCGAAAACGTAGAAGCGGTACTCATCAGAATAAATGATTTCTTTTTGAATAGCTGCATACATAAATTCTAATTCGACTCCGCCCCCTCCGTACAGCTCGCCGTATATTCTCAGCTCGATATCATTTGACTTGTTCTTGAGTTCACTGCTTTCACAGTCAGATTTTGTGGGGTTATCTACTGTTTCAGAATTTTCTTCGTCGTCTCTCTCTTCGTCTCCAGCTGCCTCTTCTTCGACGTTTTCCTCTGCATCGTCGTCATCATTGTCTTCTTTCTTTCCCCATTCCTTGTATTCCTCCCAACGCTCGTCTGAGCTGATGATTTGGAATACTTTCTTAACGCATTCAACATACCTGCACACAATAGAAAGAAAAGTTTTAGTGGTGTAAATGTGTTATTGTCTGTGTGCGTTCTTAAATGTTTCATCTCGTCTAGCAAAAGATTATCTATTCACGAGAAGAAAGATGACATCATTGTCAGAAGGAGAAAAATGAAGACAAAGAAGAGATCACCTTAATAAAAATCTCCCCCCCCCCCCC